GAATTTCAAATGATTTCATCTCTGATTGTCTTCAGCTGTTATCAGATTTCTGTTTCTTTATTTTAGTATATAGAGCCAGAGAACAATAATTCCATAGTATAAGTAGAAAGATTTGTATCAGGTCAAATCAAGCCTCTTAACCTAGTAAACTAAGAGGCCATTTTCAATGATCAGTTGACATGCTGGCCATTCAACATGAGATGTGTCTTATCTGGTACAATTTATAAACAGTACACATCTATTTCTATCCATCTTTAGAAATCAGTAACTACTAACTAGGTCATCTGTTGGGTCACTCCACCTGGGTCCTCATAGAGAATTTAATTGTGTATTCAGAGATACAAGGTTCTCCTCTATATGTTCCTGCAATTTCTATCTGACTTGGAATAATTCAGTCTCCCCCATTGTCCAGTATGAAGCATTTTAGTTCAATGCCACAAATCTGGTTTGCTAAATTTTGCTATTGACCATATCAACATCCTGTTGCCAATGTCTTCATCATAACCCTGACAGGAATGGCTTCCAGGTGCTATGCCTTGCAAAAAGATTTAGACATCTTCACTTTTTTCATTGTTTTTTTCCAGACCATTTGACCAACACTAGGGGTAGTTTATCAGTTATTGAAACAGAAAGTGAAATTGGCAAGCCAAGTTCAAATTTTGTTGCATTCACTTATATCTCTCTGAACTAATACCCTTGGGAAATGTATGATTCCATCTTTTCTACCCTCACCCCAGCTATAAATTAAATATCATTGTAGACTGGGCTCTCTAGTCAGTCTAGGAGAAACAAAATCTTTCAATTCAAAAACCATGCTGATAAAATGGAAAACTCCTCCACTATAGTCCTGGCAAGTCACAGATAATATCAAAAAGGAATCTGTGGGAAGCCATGATTGAAGGCACATGGCATTTAAATAAGAAAAAGACCAAGCAAAAGTCTTACTAGCATCAGAAGATGATGTTAGTAAGAAGCCTTTGCTTCTTACTAACATTATAAATAGTAAATACTGAAGCAGAGTTCAAATATTATTATATCCACTGAATGAATAGATCTCTAGTATAAATGTCTCATACCATGTATTATATAATTTATATATTGTTGCTAAAAACATTTTATTTTTGCATGGTTTTTAACTGATTGCAGTAACTGTTATAAATCAGTACTGCACCAAAGTATTAATTTGTATATCAACCTGCCATCACAGATTACATATAATTTTCTCAGCAGATATTTCAATAGTGGCAAAGCTTTTGAACTGCTGAACACAACAGCATTACACTTTTTCTTTGAATATTAATAATGTTTCAGCACAATAATATAGGAATATAATTTCTCTTTGAATTGTTTTAACCTTTTATAGTGACTTAAATACACTATCATCACTTGAATATCAGTGGATAAAAGTTAATTCATTCTTGTTTTGATCAATACAATAATATTAAAAAAATAAATTTATAATGAAAATAAATTGGATTAAGAAAAAAGAAGGATGCTATCATTTAAATGACATTTATACATAAAAATGTAACGCTATGATTGGGAACAGGCTAATTATTCTGCTCCCTAAATGTAGTATTACCTGCTTTGCATCTTTTCATGGTAAACTTAGAGTCAAAAATCCTTAGTCACAGCAGCATTAAGGCAGGAAGTGTTAGCTAATTATCCCATAACTGGTTCAGTGACATCCTAAACAAGGTATTTCTCTAACAACAATGTGTTTAGATAAAATCTGAAATCCCAAAATCAAAGTTGAAACATCACAACCTGAGTCAGCTATGTGTTCCACAAAACTGAAGAGTGGAATAATGACAAAAACCATAACAAGATTTCAATGACATTGTGTATTTTACCTGTCAGTTACATACCATTGATTTCAAAAAGATAAGCCATACCAATCATTCTTAACTAAGAGGTAGGAGGAAATTTCCTGGATATTTAATAAAAGAGATCGTTGGCATAAGGATGCCTCAAGTGGATTTTTATCCAAAAAATAATAATCTTCCTGGCCTGTCTATTTAAAACTCAAAGGTAGCAGTTTTCAACTAGTGCCTTTCTTTCCCAGTTCTAATACTTAACAGTAGAATACTGTAGTCTGGATACCAAATAGATCATGTACCACTATGATATGCTCTACCTAGGTTTCTGTTCCACTCATATCTCTTATCTGCCAGTTTCTGCAGAACTAACTAAAGTGTGTCACACAATTGTATATATGGAAATCAGCATTCCAGTTGGTTATAAATTATGTATTGATGCAATCTAACCATTAATTTACACTAAGGGTCTTTTTATTCCAGAAAGCACATAGCCAGTTTGACACCTGACTGAGTTGTGATAATCTGATTCCCCAAAACTATTCTTCCTATGAAACCACCATCAAATGTCTTTATGTAAATAAACCCTACAGTCTGTTGGTTAGTTTAGCCAAAAGTTTTAGAAAGCCTTCCTCCAAAATTGCTGTCTAAGAAACCACACAAATTTGATGGGTAGACCTTTATGTAAACAGCGTAGTCTCAAGGGGTTTTAGATAATTTTTGTTTTCATCCAAAAAAGTAATTTATTACTGACCATCAATTTAGTCCAATTTGGCAAGTGTAGCAGGTGGGTTTAGGACCATAACCAGTTATTGAAGTAATCTTCAAATGAATATTTAAGTACAATTCCCTAAGAACTCTTCAAGTCATCTAATTTCTCAAAACTAATTAGCATTCTTAATTGTTTTTCTGCATTCTCATACCCATTATATACAATCAAACTTTCTTTCACACATTACTTTCAGAATTTACCATAAAACCAAGCCTTTCTACAGTTCATTGACCATCGTCAAGTTTTATTGGGAAATTCTGCACAAGGGAATCATTCCCATCTCATCACCTAAATATGTAAAATTGGTTGAACTACTTTGATGAATGACTAAGTAAAATTAATTCTTGTAGTTCAGAGAGATATAATTTAGGTATTCTTGAAAATAATACCATTAATTTAAACCATTCAAGATACATTTTCTTCAGTAACCAACCACTTTTACACACTTACATTCAAATACATTACACAACATACAAAATTATGCATAACTTTGAAATAAATATACCTCACCCAACTTTGAAGAAAAAATAGGGAAGCCATGAAAATGATATCTTATTTTATGGAAACTGATTCACATTCAGTTTTGCTGTTAATTTAGTAATTAATTTTTTAAGCTTTACCTAACTGAAGACAAAATGAGATAAATCTGATTGAAATCTAACTCATGACTACTTCATTCAAAAAATACAGTAGAAAGATTTATGCTGAAATGATATTATTACTATGTGTAATATTGTGAATATCACTTGTTAAATATATTAGAAATTCAATATTTCTTAGCTTAAAGAAAAATTAGAAAAACTGAGTAAAAAAGAAAAAAAAAAACTGTGCTGTGAAACAACTTTTGCTAATTGTTTTATAAAGTGTTTCCTGCTGTAAAATATCATTGCAATAGCAATATTTGTAGATTTTTAAATATTTTATGCTTCAATTATGAAGATCTTTTTTAAGTTATCTTTTCCTAAATTTTTCCCAAGACTAAAATCATGTCAAATGTTTTAAATAAAGTATATTCACAATATACACTAAAAAAGTTCAGTATGTGAGCTGTACAAATTCATTAAAGCATATCTATGCAATTTTTATCTGTTGCCAAACAAGCTATTTGGCCTAAATTGCACTATAAAAGGTTTAAACTAAAACTAAGGGGTTTCACACAACAGTGAGGTTGTTCTTACAAGTCACAACACGTCGCCTGACTGTAGGAGAAATTGAGAGTGACACTGAAAAATAAAATCTCATATTAAGCCAATTAAAAAGTCTGTATTTTTATACTGATATTATAGAGGGTCCACAATTAACAACTTCAAATAAAATTCATAATATACATATTCAAAATTTTTTTAAAAATCACATTATATATCTAATAAAATTTTGATTTAATTAAAAAAATACAATTATGAATGAAACATTACATAGTATATAACTATTTAAAAAAATTTTTTAAATATTTCTTAGATATTCTGAAATTTAGTATATGGTAGCTATAGCTACTGGAAAAAATATATAAACTCTTATAATTTAAATGTTTTTGTAAGTTCAAATATTTTATAAAATGTCTTCTTTTTTTTTCATTCACAAGTGGATAATTTGATTACCATTTGCAGATTATCACACAGAATAATTTCACTTTACAAAGAACTTGAGAATGCATTAAAAATTTGTAAACATTTTCAAGGAAATAACTTTGATAAATATGAAGATAATTCAGTACAGAATTTCTGTAGGTTTTGAAACAAAATGTTTTATTCAAATATAGTGATGAGGAACTGTGCTTATGTCCAGCAACATAAAACAAATAATCTGAAACAATATTAAAGCACAAGGAGAAAAGAATTGAAAGGAATGTTTGAATAAAACCTATATTTTAGAAAATCAAAAATGAAAAAAAAAACATTAAAATAATACTAAACCATTTTCAGAAAGATCAATTGTCAAAAAGATAAGGAAGAAATGAAATTAAAGAATAGGGAGAAGGAAGAGAGTCAGGAAATAAAAAATAATAGACAGAAAGGAAGATAATGAATAAGAAAAAATGTAATGTTAAAAGATAAGGATAATTGATGGATGAGAGACTACGGATAAAAAGAGAGAAGAAATATATAACTGAAGAAAGATCAATAGAAAAGAGGAAGAGAAAATAGATGATGGAAAGAAAGAGAACATGAGAGGAGAAGACAAAGAAACAAAAACTACTAAAAAAAGAAACAACAGGATAAAAAAAAAATGAATAAAAAAATGCAGGGAGAAAGAAATGTGAAGAATGAAGAGGAACAGAAAAGTAAAGGTGAATATTGACAAAGCAGGAATTTGACTGCTATACATACATTATCTAAAAAAAAAAAAATCATCATCAGGCTTCCCAAAGTTCTTTCTCTCTTAATTGTATTTATCATTTCAAACATTACTGCTTTTACTGTTGTATATGACTATATCAAGATTCTTCTAATTGTAGTACCAAAATCTAATTTTATTTCTATGGTTTTAATATCACTATTGATACTTGAGATCTTCTTGACACTATTGACATTTACTGAAATTTGCTTTTTAACCAAACAATACAGCAATATTAATTACTGCATGTTAGAAAAAAAAAACATTGAACAATGTCTATAAATTTGTTCTGCCTAATATAAGGAACAACACATTTTCTATTATATAATGTGCATATGCTTCATTATGGAATAATCTTGAGGATTTATTCAGGATATGGGCAATCATGACTCTCCACAACTTTCTATAGGAGTGTATAATTATCAGTCACCTCAACCATTGACCACCTCCAAACCATGACCTTCATAGCATAATATGCAAGATAATTTCTGAAACCAAGTTTTTCATGAAAAAAATGCACATATGGTAGAGAAATATGGTATTTGCAGGACACAGATTTGAAGTCTTATTCTTTGAGGACTTTGGTATATTAAGAGAACAATGTTATATCCTGAACACAAGTAGAGTATTAAGGTTTGTGTCATTAAAATCTATTGCAGAATAGAAGTGGCGAACTAAGAGGCTTCTCAAATGGCATCGAAAAATCATTAGAATGTCACAATGATCAATAGAAATGCATTATTAAAGATGGTAACGTTTAAGTGGAAGATATAGTTTTATTTCCAGATACTAAACAGACCCTTTTCTTCCTTCTCAACAGATCATTAGCCAGAGGTCGTCCATTAGCAACAAATACTCCTACCACAATCCTCACTGAAGAGGATTTATTTGCAGGACATTTCCAACTTGGATATTTTCAAATTTGCTAATGTTATTCTTAAATACATACAGACATGTTCAAATATTTATCTCAAGCATGATAATTTATTTTGTTAAATGATATAATTCCATCTTATATAATATGAGAATTGTTTAAAAAAAAAAAAAATTGTTTTCCTTATAAACAAATTTTTTCATAATTAGTCAAATACATTTAGCCTTTTTCAATAACTGACAAGCTTCATTCATTGCTATTAGTTAACACTTCATATATACTATGTGTTATGGTCCAGGTTAGGACCAAGGAAGAACAACATGAACACAAGAGTAGAAATAACGAAGGTATATTACACAAAATAATAATACAAGATGTGGAAGGTGGTAGTATGACTGTCAGTCTGGTTTGGAGTGAACTACTATCAGCTTGACTCGATTCGTCCCTCTCTCTTGCGAGGCATAGTATACATAGTGTTAGGAAGAGTTCATTCTGTAGTTATAGGTAAGGACCCATGACACTGTCAGATTTTATTATGCAAGTAAATGTTTTCACAATAAAATTGATATGAACCAGCTAATATTGGTAACATTTTCAGTATATCAGTCAGTTATGTGCCACACATGATACACACTTAGGTGATCATGTATCTTTCAATACATGACTGACAAGGTAAATTTTTTCCTGCAGTAAATTGACATTTCTTTCTGCAGTAGACCAGTTGCCATCCAAGGCTATAGAACCCAGTCTGTCCTGCTATTTACCCATAAATGGGGGAGAAAAAGATGATTCATACCTTTCCCAAGGGTATTAGCACATAAGTGAATGTAATGGATTCAACCGGAATTCAAACTCTGCTCTTTGATTTATCAATCCGAGCTGCTATCCATTACTCCACCATACCTCCGTGCTTTCAGTATATAGTTAAGTGAATTTCAGCTTATATTATCTGTTTTTATTATGAATATTTACAATAACGTATTTGGTGGTGTGAGATTTTATTATATGACTCAAGGATCATTTATTATATTGGAACTAAATATGTATAATAGCATAGTTGTTAATATTTATTTTTTTTAATTTCAGTTATACAAAGCTTAGTTTTTAAGAAGATATAACCTCAAAAGAGAAATAATGATATTTTAAAGTTATTGAATGATGGAAACAACTTAAGAAATTGCAAAAACACTGAACAGAGATCACACAACAAAAAGAAATAGAAAATACTAGAAAGATAAGAATAAAGAAAATAAAACTAGCATAAAGAATTTCACAAAAACAGATTCGAGGAAAACTAAAAATAATAAGCAAGAAAATATTTGAAGAAACTAGTGTTAAAAATGTAAACAGAGAGAAAAGCTGCAGAATATTAAGAACATTGGTTAGACATGAAAGTAAAAATCAGAGTAATGTGTATGTTAGTTAAAGAATTACATGAAAACTGATTTCTCAACAGTAATTTTTACTGATGAATATAGAGCTACATTACATGGACCTGATGGTTGGACTAATAATTGTATCTTTCTTGGAAACACATCAGACACCAGAAATTTAAAGTTAAGTGTCCCTGAATCTTCAGTGTTTTTCTTAATGTATAACTATAACCAGCACTTCTTATATTTTATCCCCTCTTCCAACATAAGATTCTATCAGTAAAAATTGATGTTCTTTCGAAGGAGAAAACACATTACATTAGATTTTTTCTATTTTATCATTCAATTACCCATTATTAGAGTTTATATATCATATTCTCCCATTAATGATTATCCAAACTCATTTAAATTTAGTCAAACTGATTATAATGAAAATATATATAAACAAAATGCCACTCAAATAAAAGTATTCAGATCCACAGAAAAATCAAAGTCTCTTCATTCAAACCCAGAGATATCATGATGTTTGTTCAACTATTATAAAAATATTCACTTAGTTTCTTAGATAATATCTTTGTGTTTTCATTTTTTTTAAATTATTTTCCAAATTAAGCTTAATCTTGATAAATTTTGATCAAATTATTTTATAATCATGAAAATTTATTTTGCCACAACTTTATTCTTAAGAACTGAGTCACTTCCCAACAACCAAATTTTTACTGGAAAGATAAGTAAACTTATTTACAGAGGAAACAAGCTGAGCCAAGCCACAGTACCTATATGAATGAGAATTTTTGTTTAAAGAGTGCAGGACAATGGAAGCTTTCTACTTTGATTTTATGCTGAGGAAATGCCTGAAGATTTAGAGTATCTTTTTTTCTGCTTTCCTTAAGATTATAAATAAAGCTCATCTCTTAAAAATATTGAAGACAGACAAAAGATTACTTGATATAAAGTAGGCTTGTATGAATAAACTCAAAATATTTTTTGAAGAACATATAAGGAAATGTACTTAATAAATTAAGGTCAAATAATTTGGAGAGAATCCTGATAACTGAATTAAATTATTGACAAATCTGTTTGGGAAAACATTGCAAATAAAGATAAAGCAAACAATAATTATATCATTTTATCAGTAAAAATTTAAATTCTATAGCATTAATAATGCATCAGTATTACAGTAACAAAATAACTAGACTGAAGGTTACAAAGTTAAAGCTTCCATCCTTAAATGCCAAGTAGATGAAGCTCAGTTCCCTGAGGGAAGAGAAGTTCTGAATCAAGTAAACATCCATTCTTCAAAGAATCATTGTTTGTAAAATACCAAGTGATATTAGCTGGGGTCAAAGATCAGATCAAAATCTTATTTAAATTAATGTAAAGGATGCAACCATTCATCTTCAAGTCTGTACAGATATATTAATACTTTCATCACATTTTTTAAAAACTTTTGTCTCATGGACATGCTAATCCCTAATATCTTATCTTTTGCTCAAAAGCCACCAACCTTGATTTTTAAAATGGGTAATGTATTTGGTGGCATGTAAAACATGCCCCTATTTGCAATTAATATTATAGTATTATGAATTTAAGGTTTGATGCAAGTACTAGCAGGCTACTGTATCTAGGTAATATACCCCATCTTCACATATAAGACCCAGGAGATATTTTTAAATAATTTTTGATGGTAGATGATGGGGACTTTCATATGCCAGCAAAACAGGTACTTTCCTTTCTGGAATTTATGATAAGACCATAGCAATCTGAAACAAACAACTCTAGTTGCAATTAGCCTTCCAACCATTGAGCTATGAATACAGACTATGGTTTATCTCAAGGATCTTTGAATACAGCAGGTCAATTATGGTTGACCTAAAAACATTGATGTTTCAGATTTTTTGGTATCAATAGAAAAAATCTTTTTGTTTCTGACATTCAATTCATTGTAAGGAACAATGAAAAATAATGTGGTTTTATTTTCTCCAATAAATACCTGACTGCCTGCTATCTTTTACCTTTAAAAGAACTCTAAATATATATATATATATATATATATATATATATATATATATATATATATATATGGGTACTGCTGCCCAGTCTTTACTTTCTAATGTCAATAGAGTTCAAAAGCATCTCTGCATCCTTGTGGGTGATGAATTATTTTCCATCCTACCACCCTTTTCCCACAGACAAAACATCACAAGCCTCTCAAGTGTTCTATCACTATTTCCATGAAAAGTGTTCAAACAAACTACATTCTTTTGTTCCACCAGTTCTAATGCAAATTGTAGTGAACCACCTTCATTCTCTTTGTATTCCATTTGCAAAATGTATATTCCTCTTGAGCAGTTTCTTCCCATGAACTACTGCCTTGTGGAACAGACTCCTAGAGGATGCTTCCTTGATCACTACAATCTTAACCTGTTCAAATCTAGGGTTAATCATCATCTTCCCCACATATTCCAATAAACTGTCTTTTACTCTGTAAATCTCTACCTAGAGTGGCTCTTGGGTCTTGTACAAGGTGAACATCATAGCAAAAAAAATTTAATCAAAATCAGTCCATAAAATCAAACACTGAAAAGTAAATATCACAATTACAAGACCAGCTGATGAAGATACTTTTTTTCCAAGTTGAAAGACATTAAACTCCAGAGTTTGAATCTCTTGAAGGAAAGTAAGTTAATGAGCTTTACCAATCCAGTACAAGATTTCTGATTATAGATTTCATGG